TTTTTTTTTTTCACTTTAAAGTATATTACATAAGCTTCAATTTAAGATATATATAAAAGTGTCAGACCTTCCGGAACACTTTCAAAAGTTAAGTTGAAAAAGTTCTACTTTCTATATGCATTTTTTATATTTGAAGCCCCCCCATATATAGGGAAATAGTCTGATTTAAAAAAAAAGTATATCCAATGAAAGATGTATATAAATACTACTTCTCATGAAAAAATTGTATTGATCCATACATTTTTTAAAAAGTTATAGCACTTTAAAGTAAAAAATGTAAATTATAAAATCGAAAATTTTCACACAAAAATAGCATTCGGTAGCCGTTTTCACCATGAAGACAAGTCCAGAGGTCAAATTTTTTTTTTTCAAATTAAAGTACATTACATTAGCTTTAATTTAAGATATATATGAAAGTGTCAGACCTTCCGAAACATTTTCAAAAGTTATGTTGAAAAAGTTAATTTTTTGTGAAAAAGTTGTCATTTTAAATCCCCCTCTGTGGGCAGACAAAAAGTTAAATTTACAAAAAAAATATACCAAATNGCAGACAAAAAGTTAAATTTACAAAAAAAAATATACCGAATAATAGGTAAAGACATCAAGCATCTATAAAAAAAAAAAATTATATTCATATGTTCATTTTTGAAAAAGTTACGGCAGTTTTTAGTAAAAAAAATTGAAAAAATTTCGAAAATTAGCGATTTTTAAATTTGTAATTTTTTTGGAGGTTTCCCCCATTTACGGGGAACGAGGGAAATTTTTTCAATTTTGAAGGGTAATGTCTTCGACTAGATACGATTTGTGATCTTTTGACGTATCGTTGAAAGAAATCCGTTCAGTGAGAGCTGAGAAAGAGTGGTAACAGACAAAAAAAAAACACATCATAGTAAAATAATACCTTCTCAGCTTCGCATCGAAGCTAAAATAATAAATAATAATACTTCCTCAGTTTTGCATCAAAGCTAATATGAGGTCATGTTGCTCTTGGAATAATTCTCCAATTTCATTATAATAAACACTATCTATAGATTTACATGGAAGCATTTTTTATGATAGTGTTTTTAATCACTGTGCTGGGTTTTTATTTTCATGATTAAAAAACTAGTTTATAAAATATGGATGTTTTTTTAGATAATCAATTCTAAATAATGTAATAAAAAAAAGGAGATTTTCCATAAAGAAATATTTTTGATTCTTTCATCTAAATTGTGTTATTTCTTATTCTTTAAATAAGTTTAGCTTGAACTCATCCCCTAAGTATATTTCTATTAATGTATCTTAGTTAAATTCTTTAAAATACGCACCGAAAGAAATATACTATAGTAAATTATACCTTTTAGCTTCATATCAATCCATTTCTTACGACTTGTTTTAAATAAATTCTGGTATAATTTCATATAATTAATGATAACATAATGTTCCTTAAAATTGTTACCGGGTTAAGAAAAACATGTATAATTAAAATTTGTATAAATGTACGTCAAAGTATATTTTTAAGTTTACTATTGTCAATTAAGAAAAAAGTTCTCGCAAAATTGTGTATAGACAAAATTTTTTTTTAAAGTAGTTATTTAAAATAAAATGAAAAAAAAAAATTATTTTTAAGAAAGATGAAAACAGAATCATAATTAATGAAAAATTTATTTCTATTCTGTAACATAATTTTGGCATTAGCTAAATAAACTAATAACTTTAATAGTTTGTTTTTATTGTTTAATTATTTAAGGATTAAAACATATAAATTAAAAGCACATTAATAAAATATCTATTTAAAATATAATAATTATTTTACCGTTGTTGTGTGTTTATTTGATCCAACCATGTGTATTTACAAATTAATTATAAATAAATATAGCATTGTAGTAATTTTTATTTTTTAAACATTTTGTTTACAATTTTCCATTAAATACACAATGTTCAAGACATTTTTAAGTTACTGAAACAATTTTTGTAAAACTAACTCGTTCATTTTATATAATTTGTCATTCGTATTAATTTATACATAATGAATTTAAATTTCATACAATGTTCGATATCATTCATTTGAATTTTAGAGGGGTCAATGTTCTTATGAAGAGTTTTTTCATAATTCATCATTTTTAACCATAATTATAACTTGAAAATTATAAAGTAATAATTTGCTTCCATGATTAATTAAAAAAATATAAAGTATTCTATAAAAAATGAAAAAAAATGTCTTTTATAAAATTAAAACAATATTAAAAATTATACATCTCATAAATAATGAGATATCTAAAATTAGAAAAACTGCTAAACATGTTTAAAACAATGAAACGTGAACTTCATAATTATTACCAAATGGCTAGTTCATAATAAACATTTAACATTCAAAAATAATTTATTAATTATTTTTATGTTTATCAAAATTACATCAGTGGTTAGGAGTAGCATGCTATTTGTAGCAAACCTACAGTAGTTAGTTACATTTTTTGAAATATTGCTTCTTTTTTTGGCATTTAAAAATATTGTAAATTTGAAATATTCAGAATTTGATCATTTTAATGATTTAGTTTAACTAAAAAATCAATTAAAGTATTGTTAGAAAAATCTACTCAATTGAGTTTATTATAAAATTTGATTATAATATAAAAATTTATTGTTAAATTTAGGTGAAACTAAAAATCATTTTTTTTTTTTTGATTTATGATTTATATAGCAACATAATACCAAAAAATTTGGAATATTATAGACTGTTAGTATCACACACAAACATAGTTAAAAAATTAATAAATTACAAAGTAAAATTATTTACTTTTACAGTTGATTATTTTTATTATATCAAATATAATTCGACAATAAATATTTTAAAAATATTAAAAATTAATCATTTTAATTTTTTGTATGGATAAAGCTGTTTAAGGTACTTTTTATTTGATTAAGGAATTTTTTTTCAATTTTTGAGGGTAATTACTTTAACTAAATACGAATTGTAATCATTTGACATATCGTTGAAAAAAATAGGTTAATTGAGGGTTGAAACAATAAATTGCAGCCACAAAAAAAAACACATAGTAAAATAATATAAACATGAATAAGAAAATTCTTTTCATGAGGGGAAACTACAATGATGGGATACTTGATATTTATTGAAGTTAATGAATCTAAATGAGATAAAAATTAAATTACTTCAAAAATGAAAAAAAATTTAAATAAGTTTAACTTCTTATGTCTTATGATCTTTATTCTAAATAATAATATAAGCTTTAATTAAAGTTTGAATAAAAGTGTCAATATTTCCGGAACATTTTCAAAAATTGAAAAAGCTTAACTAGTGTGCAAAAATTGTTTTTTTGAATTCCCCTTGCGGGCAGTTTTAGAGTCAGATTTTCAAAAAATATATAATAAAAGAAAGAAAAATATCTGAAGTGTTAATATTGAAAAAATAATTTTAATTTGTTCATTTTTCAAAAAGTTATGTCAGTTTAAATCGAAGGATGTTCTCCTTGACACAATGCAATTTTTTTTGAGTTAGAAAACTTTTAATAAAATTTTTTTTCTCATTTAGATTTAATAACAAATATCAAGGATCCCATTACTGTAGTTTCCCCTCGTGAAGAGAAATTTCTAATTAATGTTAATATTAGTTTACTATGTGGTTTTTTTTGTGGCTGCAATTTATTTTATCAACCCTCACTTGACCTTCTTTTTTCAACGGTACGTCAAATGATTACAATTCCTGTTTAGTTAAAGATATTACCCTCAAAAATTGAAAAAAAATCCATTAAACAATAAAAAGTAGCTTAACCAGCTTTATCCATACAAACAATTAAAATCATTAATTTTTAATATTTTTAATGTATTTATTGTCGAATTAGATTTGATATGATAAAAATAATCAACTGTAAAATTAAATAATTTTACTTTGTAATTTATTAATTTTTTAACTCTATTTGTGTATGTTACTAACAGTCTATTATATTTTAAATGTTTTGGTAACATGTTGCTATATATGATACAAATCTAAAAAATGATTATTAGTTTCACCTGATTTTAAAAATGGATTTTTACAGTTATAATCAAATTTTATAATACGCTCAATTGAGTAGATTTTATTAACAATTTTTTTTGATTTAATTTTTTAGTTAAAGTAAATCATTAAAATTAATTGAGTTCAGCATACTTCAATTGTAGAATCTTTAAACACCAAAAGTTAATTAAAAATGATTACTATGATTTTTATTTAAGTGATCTATTACAATAAAAATGTAAAAAAAAATAGAGCTTTCCTGATAAATTTACTGTAAATAGTAATTATAATATTTGCTGACTGCATAATAATCTTAATAATTTCTTTTTTTTTTATTTAATGATGTCAATTTCAAATTTGTAAGTTGAGCTAAAAGTTATGGTAATAAATTCATGTTATAAATAAGAAAATAGGAGTTCATTTTGCTTTTGTAATTATCCACCAATTTCTTAGAATTCAACACTATCTACAGATTTGCATCGAAGCGTTTCTCATGATAGTGATTTTAATTATTGTCAAATATCATCTATACTTGTCCCATCTATGCTTTGTCTACACTTTGCCTCGACCCCACTGTGCTATTTATTTTTAGATATTTAATCATTAAAATTAATTAAATTCTGAATATTTCCATTGTAGAATCTTTTTAAACACCAAAAGTTAATTAGAAATGATTACTATGATTTTTATTTAAGTGATCTATTACGATAAAAATGTAAAAAAAATCGAACTTCTTTGATAAATGTCAGATTAAATCTATACTGGACCAAACAATGCCATGTTCCCACTGTGCTGGTTTTTTTTGTATTAACTTTGATGTCTGTTTTCACCGTGAAGACAAAATAAAGTTTTTAATTTTAAAGTATATTATATAAGCTTTAATTTAAGATTTATACATAATAGTGTCAATATTTCAGGAACACTTTCAAAAGTTAATTTTTTGTGAAAAAGTTGTCATTTTGAAACCTTCCCTGTGGGTAAATCGAATGTGAGATTTATAAAAAAAAATATACCAAATGATAGGTAAAGATAGTAATGATATTTTTCTTTGATACTTTCAATATCAATAACTCTTCGTCAATATTGAAAATAGATATTAATATGAGAAATTGTTTGCGACCAATTTTATAATCGAATTAAAAACTGTAAGCACATTTATTACTATATTCTTACCACTTATATTATACACAATTTATTTCCATTTACTTAATTCGTAATACATATTAATTAGCACAGAGGGAGATGCTGATGTTAAAATTTTACTAGTCTGAAGCTAAGAACTACTGACGTCGATTTAACAAAGGGCAGTTGTGATTAAGTTATAGACATAGTTTCCAATACTATTACTATCGTTTTATTTATATTATAAATAATATAAATAAAGTTAAGTTATAAATAAATTAACTTGTTTTATTCAACGACCCGTCTATCACCAATTGTCATCATAGCCTACTAACTCCACCTCACTTGGATATACCTACTAACCAACTGTACTTGTATTCAGGTCAGACGTATTGTACATTACATATAACTTATATTTACTCCTTGTCATGTCTGATTATGAAAAATGCAAATAACAATTATATTAATAATTCAAAGTAAAATAAAATAAAATGCAAGTAAATACTTTTTTTTTTTTTACACAACAAGGGCAACCTCCTCAAAATTATCTATGCATGAATATGGATTTGAACGGTGTAAAGGTTACTGCATCAGAGGATTTGGATGCCGCAGTGACGGCGGTTGGTGGGGGGCGTACCCACCAAGTGTCGTCATGAATTGAATACGCACCAAATGTAGAAGTGTTGTGGCAGGATCCTGCAGCCAACCACGTGGTTGGTACTGCGTCTGCAGGAAGAAGTGGTGACCAGCCACTCCCATCTGTGAAATAGCCGGGAGGGTATTGGCAATGGTTTGTTTGAAAAATAGAACGGACTGGACGACGGCCACCTCCCCAGATGCGTCAGCAAAACCCTCTATATTGGAGAGATTACGAAACGCATCTAGGGGTAGTTTGGCAAGGGTGGAACCTTCGGGTCCGACTATTGAAATGGATAGTGTGGTGGTGGCAGTGGAACTGGGGGAGGATGATTCTTTGCGTCCCAAACACAGGGAGATCTCCCCAACGATTAGTAACTCCACCATCACATTGGAGGACACCCCGCCCAGCGCGGCGTGCCCATGCCGGCGACTCCACTGCCGGTCTTGGCCAAAAAGCCTAAGATGGTGCCCCTGACTGCAGTTGACCTGTTCAACGCTGACGGGACACCAAAAAAGGTGATTGGTCGACCCAATGAGGTATTGCCGGCAGGGTTAGACCTCGCCAGGAAGCAGGCGGGGCAGCTCTCCGACTTGCTGGAGGTTTATTGCCCTCACAGGCGAGTGGTGAAGATGGCCACGGCCCATATCGAAACCATAAGGGCCTAGGCTGATCTTCACTTCACTAGCTCGCCTGGGGAGAGATCACCTGCACCTACGTCGGAGAGCACGGTGTACCTCCAGCACTGTGCGTACCAGACGAATTACTGGTGGGACACTTACGGCCCATCATCTAAGGCTGTCGGGGACGCAACGACGGCGGCCGTCCCCCCGAATCGTTCACCGCGAGCCGTCTCGCGGTGGGCGAGTGGGCTGGCGAGTCGGACCGGCCACGGACGTCGACGCATTCGAGACGGGCTTACTGCTCGCTCAATGGTCGGCGCCCGCGGTATCGGACCGACACGTCTCCGCGAACGAAGCGGCGGAAGAGTTGGACCAGAGGGTGGTCGCAGCCTGCCACTTCGCCCTTCCGGCCAAACGACTGCCGTCGACTCGCGGACCGCCAGTCCACTGGTGGAACGCCGAGGTGGCGGTCAGGCGTGAGGAATGCGTCAGGGTCAGGAGGGCCATAGCGCTCCAACCGTTGAATCAGGCGGGCAAAAGCGAAGTGCTGGGCCGAACTCGTGAAGTCGGTGGACCACGACCCGTGG